ATAGACAACCATTTTGATACCACTGGAGACAAGGGAAATACCGAGATGACTATTTGTGGTCAGTTGACCAAGGCAAGCATGTTCCATAGGCTGATCGGTAAACAATCTGTCAACGGCACGGCAGATCCGTCATTCACACACTGTCTCGCTTGCCGCTTTCAAGGGACCCCCTCTTCTGAAAAGAGGAGAGGTGGAGGTGGGGCTTTGAAGAGATACTAGCCAAGTGACTTCTTTCCCGACATCCCGATTATAGCGTATTGTGTAGTCCATGGGAAGCAAGGTATGTGTGGAAATCTCAAAGGGGCTTTTCATTCAAATCGTCCATTCAAAGGTAACCGACAGAGCCTTTGGTAGTAAGTATCGGGGTTTTGGGGTACCGTGATGGTACCTATAAGATACTGTTACTGTAAGGGTAATATGGTTCCCATGTATATGTCCATCGCTATGCCATGCCTAGGAGACGACGATTGTTGTCTTTGCCGGCAAGGGTGGCTGTTATGGCCGCCTAAAAAGGACCCGGAAACAGGAACCGGCCACAATACATGTGGCTTTGCGCAAGGATTAAGATTACGGTCGCAGATTAGTTTTATGTTGGGTTTAAGACAGGCATGCATTAACCTTCCTGAAATTTATCGCCGGGCCCCCTATTTTGAACGTTTAGGGCGTAGGAAGTCTTGCCTGCGCAGTTAGCTTACTGTATCCATAATGGTGGATTCCATACGTGCAGTAGGCTGGGCAGGTAAATCGACCCAACCGTGATTAAATTCACGGCCCCCGGCGTGCCTTCGTAGCTCAATTGGCAGAGCGTTGGCTGCACTAAAGCCTTCCCTGCTGATGTGGGTTTGAATCCCATTGTGGCCATGCATTTTTCACGATTGGGTCAACTGAATACTTCAAATCTGCCAAACCCTCCGTTTAGGGTGTGTCCTAATTATGCGACTGTACAAGTCATCCAACTTAAGAAATTAGAAAAAAAGTCGGCCACAGAAAGCACTGTCACGATAGCTAGCTACTTGTCTGCAATTTCAGACTGTTCAATGCTTTTGCTCGGAACCCCCACATTCGTTTGCCTTCCCTGTTCTTTTCCACCGGGTCTGACTTCGCTCCGG